CCAGACCCTTCACCACCTTCGTTGCCCTTCTCTGGACTCGCTCCAGCCCCTCAAGGTCTTTCTTGCAGTGAGGGGCCCAGAACTGAACACAGCACTCGAGGCGCGGCCTCACCAGTGCCGAGTACAGGGGGACGATCCCTGCCCTGGTCCTGCTGGCCACACTATTGCTGATACAAGCCAGGATGCCATTGGCCTTCTTGGCCACCTGGACACACTGCTGGCTTATACACTTGTACACTTCTTTATACACATACCATACTGAATTAGTTATTCAAGTTGAGTTCCTTCTAACCATCGCTAGCATTTTCATGCTCAAAATCAATCATATGGTCATGAAAAGTTATATAATATGGGATCTGGCAGAGTTTCTATCCCCAGCCAGCTCTGTGGTACAAAAGACTAAAGTCAGCTTTCAAATTTAGATCCAGCAAAATCACTGCTGTCATTTATGACTAATCAAATGAAAATGGCATACTTGTTTAGCGATTACAAGACAGTTATTTAACAAATCACATCAAACACTGCTTTGTCATGACTCTCTTACACATTTGACCTCAAGTGAGGCAAGCAGGTCCTTGTGGCTGTCAATCTGGAAACTTAGATTGCAAATGGAACCTACCATGAATTAATACATAATCTTGGGTACCTCACATAACATTCACGTGCAAACTATCCATCTGAAAAAGACAATGACTATGACCTTACCTTTTTCCTATCCCAGCTGCTTGCTCTTCAATAAAGACGATCTGAGAGAGAGGTACAGCAATGCAGCACTCCTGGAATAACCAACACAAACACAAGTGAAATTAAAGCCATATCCTGACTATTCATTCTCTAAACCCAAGTGTTCTCTTTCACCACTTCACAAACAGTAGAGATTTCTACAGGTGCTGCGTGAGGCACTCCATATGAAATATGATGGTAAGAATAGAAATAATTTATTAAAATGAAATATAAGTAGAAAACTAATAAAAAGTTGAAACTGAGTTCTAGTTAATCAAAAAAAGAAACAAGTGTCAACACGTCAACTTTAGACACCTCAAGCTACATCCATAGAAGGACTCGGGAATTTAACAAATCTTTAGTATCTAAGTTCAAAATTTAGACACTAAAATTTCCACAGTACTGCATATTATCCCTGTAGGTGCACAATACTCATAGGTTCTTAACATTTTTGCATTGATATTACTTTGGGAGCTAAAACAGTATCCAAATGCACCAGTCTTTTAAGTGTTGAACATCTAAAAAAACAGACTATCCTCTGAGTGGAACAGGAATTTCTCCATCCGTCCCACACCCAAGGGCATAATCCAGCAGTTGATGCATCTCAACACACATTTATTGGACTGTGCTTCAGACAAAACAAAGCAGAGCAAGAAAGAAGACTGTATCCATCTGTGGGAGACTAACCTGCCCAGGCTAAACTCCTTCTATATGCATTTGAGACAGAAGTTGCTCAAGGGAGTGATTCAGAGCATCTAATTAGGTGCCTGGTCTTGTTTTGGTGAACATCACCTTCTGCACAATAGCTTGGTGATTGACAGAGTCATCCAGAATACAAGAAACACAGGTTACATTCCCTCTTTGAACCTCTCTCTTCCATCTGCCATGAGGGTGTGCCTAACATCAGGTTACAATGAACATTGTTACGGGGTCCTCTCAATCCCTACTACCAAAATTGTTCCTCTTTGCATAGAATAATTAAATGCTCATTAAATTGGAGATTAGGGAAGTATACATGCAGGAACTCCAACTAATCAGTAAATCTCTCACTGGGAAAAAACATGGGTTGTACTTCCTGTTCTAAAAACTCTTAATACAAGCTATCTAGATTCTTCTATGGCTCCAGATTCTACAGCCGTTACATAGAACAGTTACTGTTTGTAAAACGCCCACATAGCTCTGGACACTTTAAATATAGGCAAAATGATACTTCTGTTAAAGAAAGTTTTTGAAAGTGACAAAAGAGTCCAACTACATATAATATGTACACTGTCAAAATGATTGATTCATTTAGTTCACAGCTAGAAAGTTATGAACTTATTACAAGCACAAGGACTTAGAATCACCTTTTCCTGGTGACAGATGCAAGAGGAAGGGATACAAAAAGAGAGACGCTGTGAGTTTATTTGGTTATTTTTTTCTAATGTCTCATGCTCACATTATGCATGATTTTATGATTGAAAATATAGTACAAATCTAGCTATGTAACAAACTTAAAATAATTACGTATTTTTTTCCTTTGGAAATCACTGTATTTTCTGTACTGTTCAACTGCAGATGGTATGTAACAACAGCAGCTACAAAACACAGCTGTCATTTTGTAAATAGGTTTGCTATGTTAACTTAACGACAAGTGCCCCATTTATTACTAAAGATTGCCGAGACAATAAAAGAGGACCCTCCCTACAAGTTTACTCTAGGTAAGCTAGCTAAGGTTTCTTAGGCTGTTTCTAAGCTTAGCCAACAACCCACCATGAAAATAAAAGGGCACTGTCCTCCCCATGTTTCAGTCCTAAGAGCTTGAAAAGGAATCAGCTTTAGTTACCACACTAACAAAGTTATTCATATACCCTGATCAGAACCGGGTAATTTTTGCCAATCTCCTGGCCATATGTTTCTGCCCTTTCTGTTAATCAAGCCTGGAGCTTGTCAGAATCTTTGCTGAGTTAAATTAATTTGTTAAAATAAAACTATTTTTCTTGTTCTCCAAGGTTTTTCTCTGCTGATTTAGCAAACTCAATGATCTTGGAAGAGTACAAGAAACCATGTGGCCTAGGAGCAGGGGGAGAGGTCAGGGAAAAGAGACAAATGTCATCTTTTTGTTGGGAAGGATATGGGACGAATAGGAATATAGACAGTTGTAAGACTTGCTGAAGCCATAATGCTCAATGTTACTCCAGGCAAGCATAAAGTCCAAGTGAGAAGGTTAGAAGCAGTACATATTTTAGTACATGCCCACCTCTCAAAAAGAGATGTTGAGGAAGAAAGAAGTGATTAACACAGTTTAGCACAGATCACAGAATCACCTCTGGAGATCACCCAGTCCAACCCGCTCTGCCAAAGCAGGGTCACCTACAGCAGTTGCACAGGATTGCATCCAGGCAAGTTTTAAATATCTCCAGAGAAGGAGACTCCACAGCCTCTCTGGGCAGCCTGTGCCAGGGCTCTGCCACCCTCAAAGTACAGAAGTTCTTCCTCATGTTCAGGTGGAACTGCCTGAGTTTCAGTTTGTGCCTGTTGCCCCTTCCCCTGTCGCTGGGCACCACTGAAAAGAACCTGGCCCCATCCTCTGGACACCCACCCTTAAGACATTTCTAAGTATTGATGAGATCCCCTCTCAGTCTTCTCTTCTCTAGGCTGAACAGACCCAGTTCCCAGTGAGGGAGATGCTCCAGTCCCCTCACCATCT